GTTGTCTTAAAGCATATGTCACTACTCTTTTATTCTGCATCAAGACACAACCTGGACCCCGGAGAGAAACATCACAAGACACCTCAAATGGCTCACTAGGGTCGACAGCACCAATACAAGAGAAGTAATCAACCTCTTATTTAACTCTAAAAAGCTCTCTTTACAAGCATTCGTCTAGATGAAAGGTTGATTCTTTCTAGCCAATCAAGTTAGAGGCATTACTATTTGGAGAAATCCTCTATGAATCTTCTATAGTAATTCACCAACCCAACATAACTCCTAATGTTCGTGACTGTCCTCGGACACTCCCATTGTAATACCGATTCCACTTTAGACGGATCCACAAAAATCCCTTTAGTTGAAATTGCATGCCTCAGAAATGTAAACTCATCCAACCATAATTCATTTTTTGATAGTTTTGTGTATATCTGCTTCTCCCTCATCACCTCTAGTACCAATCTTAGATGCTCTTGATGCTCCTCTAGATATATTAAATAAATAAAAGATATCATCTACAAACATCACCACAAATATATCCAGGAACTATATGAAAATCTTGTTCATATAATTGATGAACATCGTCAAGGAATTAATAACACCAAAGGGCATAATAACATACTCATAGTGGTCTTCGGTATGTCATTATCCTTCACCCTTATCTAGTGATACCCAGATCTCAAGTCATTCATGAAAATACATAGATGCTTCCTTAAGTTGATCCATCAAGTCATTTATCTTAGGGAGTGAATATTTGTTCTTGATGGACAACTTGTTCAACTATTGGTAGTCTACACACAACCTGACACCATCATCCTTCTTCTTAACTAGTAACAACGAAACACTCCACGAAGACTAACTTGGCCTCAGCATCTGTTTCTCCAACAAGTCTTCCACCAGTTTCTTTAGTTCCACCAACTTAGTTAGGACCATCCTATAGGGAGTTACAGTGGCCCTACATCTAGAACCAAGTCAATCTCACCAATCAGTTTCTTAACCTCCACACCCATAGTGGCCAACAAAATGAAGCATTAAGCTTTATTCCTTAACAAATCGTCCACTTGCTTGGCTAACACCAACATCTCATTCTCAATTTGGGAAAAACACTAACTCCCTCCTAGCACAATCTATAATAATACAATTGACAAATAACCAATCCATTTATAAGATTATGTCAATCTCCACCATAGGTAAAAAAATGAGGTTCACCATATACTTCCTACCAAACACCTTTATTGAGCATCTCACACACACCTTAGAAACAACAATAAATATAGCAGTAGAGTAGAAATAGACGAATCAACAAACAAATCACTCACAACCAATCTTAGTCTCCCTATACAATCAACAAAAATGAAGGAATACATAGCCCCCTAAGTCAAACTAAATCATAACATCCTTACCATTTGCCTTGCCTTTCCTTTTCACAAGATTTCAGGAAGTAGAAGCCTCTGCACAAGACAATGCAAATACTTTTCCTATAGTTGTAGGTCGCTCCAACCTCGGTGTACTCCTCACCTAAGTAGTCATATATAGACAATCTTTAGAGATATGGCTCGACTTGCCACATTTGTAGCACGTATTCTCAACATGAGAACAATCTCTAATAAGGTGAGCTTCTCTACATCTAAAGCATCTGATACTCTAAGCTCCACCCTGAGGAGTAGTAGGAGGTCTCCAAGTAATAACATTCCCTCTATGGTTGATGAGGTCTATCATATTGTCTCATTTATTATCATTCCTTATTGGACCCGATGGTCCCTCTTGGCCCTTGGCAACCTTGTCACCACTACCACCCTCCAATCTTTCCACTGTCTTTGCATTCTCAACTAAGGTTGAAAACTCAATGATGGACATCGGGACCACTATTCTTTTCAAGTCATGCCTCAACCCCTCCACAAAAACTTCCTACATCTTTAAGTCTCAAATATGGCCTGAGAATAGAAACATGCTAGATGCTCGAACTTCATAACATACTTAGAAATAGACATGTTCGCATGATGCAACTGCAAGAACTTCACCTCCTTAGTGTATCTCATGCTTCAAGGAAATGTTTCTCAAGGAATGCCCTCTTGAAGCATTCCTAATCAACCGCCACCCCCTTAGTCTCCAACATTTGATGGGTGCCTCTTCACCAATACTTTGCCTCCCCCACTAGCATATAAATTGAATACGCTAACTTCCTCTCACTAGTAAACCTTGACACACTAAAAATATTCCCCATTTCGACGATCCAGTGGTCGGTCATTCCAAGTGTGTATCCCCTTTGAATTAGGGAGGGTGATACTTGTTAAACTCTACCAAATCCCTTTCTTCATGTGATACCACTAGCCTAGTTGCCTCAGCTATAAACATGTTCGTCTCTATTTTAGTAAAATAAGCATTTTGTTATTGCATTGCCATGACCATTATCTTCGTGGCCCTAATAATCTAATCATATTATCGTTTCACCATCCTATAGTAAGATCAATAACCCATTTAGTAACATTTTACAATAACCACACCACAACTACTCAACATACTACAAGACACCACAAAGTAAAGACTTACAACAAAAACTTAATGGGATCACCCCCATAAAGTGCCTAAAAGGCTTGATTAACTTTGATACCATAAAAGTGTAATGACCTGTCATGGTTCCAATACTTAATGGAATCATCTACTAACAGCAAAAAATGCAATTCCTACCTAAGGTTCACATAGTTATAGATTTTGGCAAATATCATAATAACCTACACACATATATACCAAATAATTTTTTTGCAAAAGTAACTAAAAAGCTTAACAAGTACATATGTATATATAGTAATCTAAAATTAGACTATATGACCCTAGGTGTTGGTCAAGCAACTACAACAAAATAAACAAAAGTAGTTAAAGACTACAATGCCAACAACAAAAGTAGTTAGGGGTAAGCAAGATTTTAAAAGAATCAACATAAAACAAGTATAAAGGAAATGCACTTTACTACCAACAACATAATGTAAATCACCCAACATGCACCCCATGGTTCACATCATACAACACTCAGCATGACATTAACAAGTTTAAAAGGCAAATAACTTTAGCAATTCAAACTTACACCACAACCATGCCATTTAGTAATATAACCACCAAAGCATATGAACAACAAACACATCACACCATATCATATACACACACCTCAACTAATGGTCGTCATATATTCACATACGGAGATCTCCTACAATACTTAAACAATCTAAATAATTTGACCCTATTAAATCGTTATGATTGTTTTTACACAACAACTACATTGAAATACCAATTCTTACACATAATTTCTCAAATGTCACCATTAAACAATGATAGTTTAGTACCACTGTCAGTTACAACATAATTTTGTTTATCATACTTTCTTGTCTAACTTTTCTAAACAACTCTTAAACATATCATTGTTGATAATAGTTTTAGTTAATATTTTTTATTGTGTAAGTAAAAAAATATCCCTAGATCACGCAGTAAAAGACGATGGACGTGTCTCCCTTGAGTGTTATTTCACTCTATTACGTTTCTTACTATCATACCATGCCATGATGCCATGCTCTTATTATCCTCTCTTGTCTGTGCTATTTGTATCAAATAACACAATGTATTTGTCCCACAAAAACTCCGAATAGGAAAATGAGATAAATTGTGAGGATGAAAAAGTATGAAAGGAGTTTATATATGAAAAAAAACAAAACAAGAAGAAAATGATAGAAAGAGAAAAAAAAGAAGAGAGAGAAAGATGAGTTTACACTTTACATAATGCATGTGCGGTTGCTGGCATAGATTTAATGGCTAATGGTCCAGCCTCCACCTTCTCTTCCGCGCCGCACTGCGCCACACAACACCACACCACATCCATTTCCATTCTACTTTTATTTTAGAAATCCGTTTTTTATAGGAACAATACCATTTTCGGATTTTATTCCACACTCTCTCTTGAAACATTAGTTCCTAGAAAATTATTTCAGAAATTTATAAATTTCTCATAAATTAAATTCAAAATTACATTAGTTCCTATAATGTATGAGTTAATCACTTATACACTGTTAGGGTAAAGTTTTTTACACTGGCAACCAATTATATCTTTAAAATTATTTTATTTTATTTTTATTTCATTAAATGAGCAACTGACATGACACAACTAAAAGATATTATTGGTTACTAGTGTAAATAAATTACATTGGCAGTGTATAGGTGATTAACTCAGTTAAATTTGTTTCTAAAATGCATTTAATACATTGCAAAAATAAGTTTAAATAAATTTTACACTCACTAAAAGAAAAAGAAAAGGGAGATTTCAATGCCACCAAAGGGTAGAACTCTTATAAAGTGTTGGTATATATGTATAAACCTGAGTTTCACATTAAATAAAGATCAATATGCTATTAAGTAACATATGTATATATTTAAAAAATCAATATAAACATAGTTATCTTAAAATTTTAGGTTTAAATATAGTATGAATTCGTTTGTGTAACTTGGTTATAACCCGTTCTTGAATTCTAATTTAAAATTTAGAATAATAGTGGATTTTTTTATTGGGAATCGAATATGAATGTAAGATTTACAATAATCAGATATTGAGTTATACCCATGATTTTTATAGAGACATAATTTGTGATGGAGTGACATTGTTCGCAACAGTGGATAATCACTAAATTCTTACTATTTTACAACATATATTTTAACGAAAAATAGTTATTACTAGAAAAAACATAATGTTATTATTTGAACGAAGAATTTAATGGTATAACTATAAAAATCTTGATCTAAGTTTTGTCATTTTATTCTTCATGTTGTTTTATTCACATTTGCAATTTAACTGCAAAAAGCTCACAACATGTCCCCATAAAATGCGCTTATGTCCATAATAAAATGTGAAATCATGAGAACTTTATATTTTTATGAAAAGGGATAAGAAATAAGGATAAGCAATGATAAATAAAGATGTGACTGTAACTGAGCAAGGGGCTCCACTAAGTATGTGTGTATGTATACTGCTACTCTAACATGTTTTTCTTCTCTTGACACTTGCATATGCAATAATCCATAGGAGTTTGTGTTTGTGCTTGAAGAGTGGTAGTTGTTGTTGAAGTACATCGTTTCAATCCTGGATCCCAAAATTTGGGGTCACAGTTAGGTTGTCTACTCCTACCCATAACCATACCATACCATACCATACACCCTTTCTAGTTTGCATACTTTTTTTATTTACTTGTACTTAGTGCCAACTCTTTCGGTTGGTGCACTTCTATTTCCTAATTTCTCATTCTGAACGTTTTTGTAGTGAGAGCAAAGTTTTGGTTTGGTGGCCTAGAGAGACGCACAGAAGAACAAGATGGGGGACAAGTCCCAGGTTTTGGAGGCTGTGTTGAAGGAAACTGTGGATTTGGTAACATTAACATAGATCTGAATCACTACGTCTCTATGTTGTTACTTCTTATGTGTTTCTTGGTGTTTTATTTTTTCTTTGATGGGTCTTTTATTTATTTTTGGTGAATGCAGGAGAACATACCCATTGAGGAAGTTTTGGAGAATCTGAGATGTGGCAGAGAAGGTCTCAGCAGTGAGGCTGCTGAGGAGAGGCTCACCATTTTTGGTCACAACAAGCTTGAAGAGAAGAAAGTACTCTCTCTCTCTCTCCTCATTGTTTAAATTAAATTCCATTTTAAAAAAAAGTGAATTTTCATGGTGAATTATCTTCTGGGTTGTTGTCCAGGAGAGCAAATTTTTGAAGTTCTTGGGATTTATGTGGAATCCTCTGTCATGGGTTATGGAAGCTGCTGCTATAATGGCAATTGCGCTTGCAAATGGAGGGGTGAGTGCACTTAGCTTTTGGGAGTTTAAATTGGCAATGAAGGTGTATATTTGTGTTTTGTAGATTGATTATTTGGACTTGTTCTTTAAAATTGTGCAGGGGAAGGCGCCTGATTGGCAAGATTTTGTGGGTATCATTACCTTGCTTGTCATCAATTCAACTATCAGTTTCATTGAGGAGAACAATGCTGGTAATGCTGCAGCAGCTCTCATGGCTCGGCTCGCTCCAAAAGCAAAGGTGTCAAACTCTTTTATCTCTATATGGATTCCATATTCTTATTGATGTGGTTTGCATCTTGGAAGGAATCTTTTCTTTCTTTTTGCATTTTATTGTTTGATTTCTCATGAGTGTGTTTGTAAAGGTTCTTCGAGATGGTAGGTGGAGTGAGCAAGATGCTGCGGTCCTGGTTCCTGGTGACATAATCAGCATCAAGCTTGGTGATATTATTCCAGCTGATGCTAGGCTTCTTGAAGGGGATCCTTTGAAAATTGATCAAGTGGGTTATTGATTTTTGTATTTTTTTTATACATCTGGCATATAATATTTGCTCCTCTAATGTCTAATCCACCACATGCCTAACTGGTCAATTATCCTCTTTTTTCTCTGGTGCTTTGTACTTTTCAGTCTGCACTTACGGGTGAATCACTGCCAGTGACAAAGGGTCCAGGCGATGGTGTTTATTCTGGTTCTACCTGCAAACAAGGAGAGATTGAAGCTGTGGTCATTGCTACCGGTGTTCATACCTTCTTTGGTAAAGCTGCTCATCTTGTGGATACTACCAATCAAGTTGGACACTTTCAAAAGGTAACATAAGACAAATGAGTTTGTATGAATATAAAATAAAAGTGTTATTAAGAGTTTATCTACTAGAAAAAGTTCTTTATTTTCAGTAGAGAAGTTCTCAAAAACTCTTCTAAGCTTGTATCCAAATTGGCCCAATGTAACTTTTCTCCCAATTATTGTTCACAATTCCTGATTTCTTTGTCATATATTTTTTCCGTATTTTTTAGGTCTTGACTGCAATTGGGAACTTCTGCATATGTTCAATTGCTGTGGGGATGGTAATTGAGATTATTGTTATGTATCCTATCCAAGATCGGCCGTATCGTCCTGGAATTGATAACCTCCTTGTGCTTCTTATCGGAGGAATTCCAATTGCCATGCCGACAGTTTTATCTGTGACCATGGCCATTGGTTCTCACAGGCTATCTCAGCAGGTTAGTTAGTTATACTTTCGGTTGAGCACCTTGTGTGGGCATATGCAGGTAAGAACTAAGGGTTATAATGTATGCAGGGAGCTATCACAAAGAGAATGACAGCCATTGAAGAGATGGCAGGCATGGATGTGCTTTGCAGTGATAAGACTGGGACTCTGACATTAAATAAGCTTACTGTTGACAAAAATCTTGTTGAGGTTGGATGCTGAATGACTAAATGGTGTTGGTTGCTGGTAAACTTTGTGTTTTATATGCACTTGTTCTAATAATTTTGAATTTTAACATATAAGGTTTTTGCAAAAGGAGTGGATCCAGATACTGTTATTTTGATGGCGGCCAGAGCTTCAAGGCTTGAGAATCAAGATGCAATAGATACAGCCATTGTTGGGATGTTGGCTGATCCAAAGGAGGTTAGCCATTGTCATAGATTTATTATTCACTGGTATTCTTTTTTGAAGAATATCTTTTAGCTTCAAGTCTGCAACTATAATCTTCACATTGGCATATTTTTTTCTAAATTCAAGTTAATCTAGCTCTTTTCTTTTTTAACTTACCGCTACTGAAGGCACGTGCTGGTATACAAGAAGTACATTTTCTTCCTTTCAATCCTACGGATAAGCGGACAGCATTGACTTATCTCGATCAAGATGGTAAAATGCATAGAGTAAGCAAAGGTGCACCAGAACAGGTAATTTGGCAATATAGTTTGCACAAGTTTACATTAATATTTGGTCTTCCGTATTTTCATCGTGATGTGATTTGTCTCATGATTATTAGATCCTGAATCTTGCACACAATAAGGCAGACATTGAACGTAGAGTTCATTCAGTGATAGACAAGTTTGCCGAGCGTGGTTTAAGATCTCTTGCTGTAGCATACCAGGTAATTAATTTGTTGCTTAATCAATTGGTGCATTTGAATATATACCTATGTTTTAAGCTGGAAATGTTAATTGAGGCTTCTCCATTTTATACAGGAAGTTCCAGATGGAAGGAAAGAGAGTGCTGGAGGCCCATGGCAATTTATTGGCCTTTTGTCTCTCTTTGACCCACCTAGGCATGATAGTGCAGAAACAATACGGAGGGCACTAAACCTTGGAGTAAATGTCAAAATGATTACAGGTCTATTACATAAGATAGTGAACACCTTTGCTTTACTTGTGTTATGAATTTATGATAATGAAATCATTATTCTTTTTAGCTAATGACTTTAATAAGGATTGGAAATAAGCTGAGTACTGTGAATGTTGGTAGTCCTGTGACATCTGTTTTTTTTTTTTTATAAATTTTTTGAGGACATTATTGCTCAGAATTATGATGGAACTTAAATTTACAAATTTGTACTGGTAGATGAAGGATTTTGCTTTAGATGGGTTGGCAATTTCACAATATGAGTATCGTTGTTATAATAAGAATCTGTGATCCATGGTATCATTGGAAGTTAACTTGTGCATTTAGAGTAAAGGGGCCGACAATGTAATGCATGATTACATTTATCAACCCCATATCCTCCTCCCAATATTCAATTATCTATCTTCCTTTTTCTATCAGGGGATCAACTAGCTATAGGAAAGGAAACAGGTCGTCGTTTGGGAATGGGTACCAACATGTATCCTTCATCAGCTTTACTTGGGCAGGACAAGGATGAATCCATTGCTGCCTTACCAATTGATGAACTAATAGAAAAAGCTGACGGATTTGCTGGTGTATTTCCTGGTATGCTTTGGTGTCTTAATTGCAATTATTGTTTGACATGTAGTGGATGAAGATTAATGACTAAGAGTAATTTAGTATTGTATGATTCTTTGCTCATGTATGTTGGTTTATATATTTGGTCAGAGCACAAGTATGAGATTGTGAAACGCTTGCAAGCTAGGAAACATATATGTGGAATGACTGGTGATGGAGTGAATGATGCACCTGCCCTGAAGAAGGCAGACATTGGTATAGCTGTTGCTGATGCTACTGATGCAGCTCGTAGTGCATCTGATATTGTTCTAACAGAACCTGGTCTAAGCGTTATTATAAGTGCTGTTTTGACCAGCCGAGCTATCTTCCAGAGAATGAAAAATTATACAGTAAGCTATTGAATTACTGTTAATATCTTCTCAACAATTTCTTCCTACTAAATCATCTATATCATTGTTACTTCTGCTACCATACTAAGATTAGTTTTTGGAAATTTTTGTTTTGTCTCGGCCATCTCCACTTGGGATAATACGAGTATTTATTATACTTTCATCTGACTAATATGCTTCTTCTTTCACGCAGATTTATGCAGTCTCTATTACAATTCGTATCGTGGTAAGTGAATTATGTGGCAACTCTGGGATTTATTTTCTAGCTGACATGGCATTTTGGATATTGCAATTACTAGATGGGTCTAATATTTTTCTTACATGTTTGACATGCTTACAGCTTGGTTTCATGTTGCTGGCTCTTATATGGGAGTTTGACTTTCCACCCTTTATGGTGCTTATCATCGCCATCCTAAATGATGGTTTGTTATTTATTCTGTCTCGTCGACCCATTGTTTCCCCCCGCCTGTCTCCTTCAGCATGCTTCTATGTGATCTTGAGCTTTATTGGCGGCTAATATTTCTTTGACATTGTAGGTACTATTATGACCATTTCAAAAGATCGTGTAAAACCATCTCCTTTGCCAGATAGCTGGAAGCTAGCAGAGATATTTACTACTGGCATTGTGCTTGGAAGTTACTTGGCAATGATGACAGTCATATTCTTTTGGGCAGCATACAAAACAAACTTTTTCCCGGTATGTCTTTTAGGACTTAAATCTAAAATCTGAATTTATTGCGACATCTATGCATGTTGCTTCCTCACTTCCGGAAGCAATGCTAGGACTCATTATTTTTATGATCTAATGATTCTTATTTATATGAATCTCTGTTTATTCATTCCCTTCATGGATTCTGCTTTTGGCTTTTGATTGCTTCAAATGCCTCATTGATTTATTTGTCTTGTCTGCTGTGTTTTCAGCGAGTGTTTGGAGTCTCAACTCTTGAAAAAAATGCTCATGATGATTTCCGAAAGCTTGCTTCAGCAATCTATCTTCAAGTGAGCACTATTAGTCAGGCTCTTATATTTGTAACTAGATCTCGAGGTTGGTCATACGTGGAGCGTCCTGGTTTATTGCTGGTGGTTGCTTTTATTGTTGCTCAATTGGTAAGCCTCATAAGCATTTAATTATGTTGTATTTTGTATTTCATTGCATTTTATTATATTTGATGATGGATTTGTTGTGTGCAGATTGCCACTTTGATTGCAGTGTATGCAAACTGGAGCTTTGCTGCAATTGAAGGAATTGGTTGGGGTTGGGCTGGTGTTATATGGATATACAACATAATATTCTACATCCCACTTGATATCATTAAATTTTTAATTCGTTATGCTTTGAGTGGTAGGGCTTGGGACCTTGTCATCGAGCAAAGGGTGAGTAGGATATATCTTGTTTTCTTGAGTTGATTAATCCAAGGAGAGTTTTAAAGTTTGCTCTACGCTTATGGATATCATTGTCTTGTAGATTGCATTCACAAGGCAAAAGGACTTTGGAAAGGAACAACGTGAACTTCAATGGGCACATGCACAAAGAACATTGCATGGATTACAACCACCTGACACCAAATTCAATGAGCGCACACATGTCAATGAACTCAATCAGATGGCCGAAGAAGCTAAAAGGAGAGCTGAAATTGCAAGGTAATTGTTTTTATTTAATAATAAGGAATTAAGTTGGGGATATACATCAAAATATTGCACTCATGAGATTGCAAGGACATATATGCAATGCAAGCATACAAGTGGATAAATATATTTCAAAATTTTTGCAAGTTGGATATAAGCTGCATGAGGATTGAAGAGGGTAACATATATATTTCATTATTAAGTTAAGTTGGTTCCAATAAACTGCAGTTATTTATTTATTTCCTAATGATTGCATGCTGCAGGTTGAGAGAACTTCATACACTAAAAGGTCATGTAGAATCAGTTGTGAGATTGAAGGGACTTGACATAGACACAATTCAGCAAGCATATACAGTCTAAAGATGCTCATATGATTTGCATACTTATACTGTAAAAAGTTACATTGTAATGTTGCTGAGAAGAATATAATGTAATGATTACACACGTTCAACTTTAATGTCCTTTTAGTCCTGCCGTCTGTTTTGAGCACTTGAAGAAGTGCTTTTGTGAGGTCAATTTATGTCATATTATTTCTGGGTACCACTCTGTCTGTCTACCTGTCAGTCACGCACTCTCCACAATTTCATGATGACAGGAACGAAGAGAAATCCACCCTTGTATTCTATGCCTCTGAACTCATTAGCTATCTATATTATATACCTCAATTTCTTTCATCATTGGAAATTGAAAAACGTTACGTTATTTTTAGTTTGGTTAGTTTTTAAGCATAGATGTCATGGAGATAATTACCTCGTTAAAGAGAGAAAGTGGATATTCTCAAGTGAGGAGAGTATTTTAACAATGAAGTGCATACGTGTAAGGTAAACTTTTGATAAAATAGAAGTGTCAATGAGAGTTACACGTGAAACATTCTGGTTTAACTCGGCTCATTGGTGGGTTGGGTTGGTAAAAAGCAAGCTTACTTTTTTGAAATTAAAGAGTTGGTCCACTTAACATATGTGAGTTTGAGTTAGGTTTGATCAATTAACCTGTTTATTTATTTTTTATTTTAAAACTTGACATCATGGTCCACTTAACATATAAAGTTGTAGTAGACTAGTAGTTGATAAATGATTTCTAATATTTACATTTTCTTTCGTTCGCACCGATGTATCTTTCATCTGAAAGTCAAAGACTAACTTCTTTTAGGCACTTGAGAAGTATGTATTTATCAAATGCGTTGGTTATAATATTAACATTTATTAATAATAGTATTTTATATTTTCTTTTCTAATTTAGATAGGTGAATTCACTAACTCATCAATCTGCGGAAGATTGTATTGGATTATGTTTTCTTTAGGCTCACCAGATAAGTGCATTGAATTAGACTGACTCAATTTTTCTCAACCGATGGTGAGTCATATCCACACGGTTAACTCAATTTTTGACACCACTTATAAAAAATGAAAAGTGAATTAGTTGTTAAATTTGGCCTCATATTAACACAGAAATTCCCTTCCCTCATTCATTTTTCTCCAATTAAGAAAATGTTGCACCAGGAAACTGGGAAGTGATAAACTATTTGTGGTCCTGATGATGATGATAATAATAATTAACATTGATCTGATTTTATCCGTTCGTGACATAAAGAAAATAGTGTGGTTTAGAGCAATGAGTATCCATATCCTAGAAGCCAAGAACGTTCTGTATGCCCTTATGGCCTATAGCCACTGTTTGTTTGTAGTATAAAACAACAATTGCAAAAACTTTTCCAACTCAAACTTTTAGGACCAACCATTCTCAAACTCAGCCAAAATTTGGGGCATTATAATTCCTCTCACGAGGTTGTTATTTTTGCACCTTTCTTTTTGCAATTATAATTCTGCATTTTATTAATTGTTTCGTAAAGTGTACCCTTCATTTAAGGATTTTTTAATTTTGAAAAGCGTGTCCTGGAGGTTGCATGGTAGTGATGCTAATCGAATATCCTTTCAAAATTTAATGGAAGAAAAAGAACAGTTAACTAAAGTACTTACTTAAAGGAGGAATTTACCCTGTATGAGAGAGGAAACATAGAAAAATATAACTCGACCTCTCCTAATAGATCCAATATCCAATGCAACATTTCATGGGAATAGTAATAATAAGAATAATTAATTATTATTATTAGTGTAAATTATATTTTTATTATTTATCTTTTTTTTTTTAAATTTAATTTA